CAGCCCACATCTTCATTACTGCTTTCCCTCCTCTTCCACTCATCAGTAGACGAACATAGACGTCAGCAAGATTACATGCCTGCTCATGTATTCCCTTTGAGTTTCAGACTTGGAGGGGGTACATTCACTTCTTGAAATGAGAGTTTCACTCAAAGTCTCCTGCCCTCTCTGAGAGAATCATGCTGGTGGGAGGTGGGGAGCAGGGGAGAGGAGAAGCTAAAGGCAAAAACCAAAGTGTGTGTTCTGACAGGGTTCATCCTACCACTTACTTTTACATGTGTGGTGTGGTGCTGCAGAATAATACGCTGGACTGCATCGTCAGTCTGAATCACAAGATCAGCAGTTCAAACCCAGCAGCCGCTCCTTGGAAACCTTATACAAGGTTGCTGTGAGTCGGAACTGACTCGATGGCACTTAACAACAACAACAACAATGTCTATTTTATGCTGTAGTCCTTCACAGCTTACTCTTCTCGCCTCCTGTCGACCCTAGGGAACAAAGGCAGTTTAGGTTCTGAGCATTTTCCCTGCCACCTAAGACTTCTCATAGCATAGGTTCCTAAGCTGCATTCCATAGTCTGTGATGCTTTCAACATGACCAACATATAAACTTCTTCAGAGCTTACACCAGATTCTCAAGAGCTCAGAACTTGTACCAGGTTGTCTCTGAGGTGTCGGTGACTCAGAAAAGTCAAGAGCCATGACCCTGCAGCAGGCACTCTAATCCCTTGAATCAGGGATCCAGCACAGCAAAGGAAAAGAAATAGAAGTCAGACATTCGAGAAAGAATAGACCAGGGAGAGATGGAGGCAGAGATGGGACATGGAGTAAGGCAGCAGTTGAGGACTCCAGATTCATGGAAAGAGAGGAAATCTGAAGTCTCCATTTTCAATCAGGGAAGGAGGTTTGCTGGGAGGCAGTCATTTCAATTTAGTTCATCTGGGAGTATGATACTGATCTCTGAAATTTCTCCTTTTTTCCTATGGATCCTTGAGGCGGGGCAGTGATGACATTGGAGGAGAGGAAGAGACAGAGGGGAAGAGGGAAATCAAACAAACTTTCTAAAACAAGTGCATTGAGTTAGGATCAATAACTGATTCCTGCTCTCACTAAAGACCTGTTCAGAAAGTGGTCATAGGCCCTGAGAAGGGCATTGTAAGAGGCAGGTAGTGACTAGAACAGTGTGGGGTGGTGGAAAGTATATGAGTTTTGAGTCAGTCCTAAGTTCAAATGCAGCTCCCTCACTAAGTCTTGTGCACTGGAGCAAGTTTCTTAACCTATCTGACCTCTAGTTCTGTCAGCTAAGATGTTTACCTGCCATACTTATAGGGTAGATATGAGGATCTCATACGGAAGCGTATGAAAAGCTGCCGGCATAGACCAGGCAGGCGCTCAGTGTTCTCTGTATTACAGTCCTCTGGACAGAGCCTGTCGTGGCTTGCCCCATCCCGTGCTACCATACGTCGCTGCACATGCACACCTGTCCCTGGTTATGTTCACATACTCAGTACACACACACAACAGCCTTCCTAGCTGAGCTAATGGCAGCCTTCCCAGACAGGTAAGAGAAAGCTAGCTTGCTGATGATTGGACAAACTGTGTAAAGTGCTCACCACAGTAACCTCATTACATTAACCTGCTTTGCCCCATAAAAGTATTCTGAAAAGGCTGTGATAGGTGAATAAGGAGTGGTTAAAAAAAAAAAAACCACCTCAACGACCCCCCCCCCCCAAAGCCAAACAAAAAAGTAACCCAGACCCATTGCCATGGAATTGATTGGGATTCCATGATGACCCCATGTGTTGTAGAGTAGAAAGTCTATTCTATAGGATTTGGCTGTAAAAATGGGTTTTGCTCAACTGCTAACCAAAGGTTGGTAGTGCTAATCACCCAGAAACACAGTGGAAGAAAGGCCTGGCAATCTTTTTCCATAAAGATTAAATCCAAGGAAACCCTATGGGACAGTTCTACTCTGTAACACTCAGGGTCATCATGAGTTGACATCAATTCCATGACAATGAGTTTTTTAAAAAACCTTTGTAGATCGTCAGGCCTTTCTTCATGCTATTTCTGGATCAGTTCAATCTGCACAAACCATTTGTACCACCCAGTGGGTGGTGGTGGATGAGAACTTCAGTGACACCTCCCTGAGGGTGGATATACTTCTTAGCAGATGTGCTCCCCTTTGCCAGGGCAATTCCAATCTATGTCCAGGGTTATGGTGTCTGGAGTTATGCTTTCCAATATTGCAGCCAGTGACTACAGATGACTATAGAGCACTTCAAAGGTGGCTAATGAGACCGAGGAATGGACATTGTGATTTATTTCATTTTAATTAATTAAAAAATTAAATTGATACTTGATTCAGTTATTGGAAAGCTTTTAAGTATATTTGGAACATGTTGGGTGTGCGACTCTACCTTTTCAACAGTAAATTTTATGAAATTTCAATATAGATTGGGTGCTTCTAGTGGAAATCTAGTGACTGACTGAGATGTGCCGTAGGTGTAAAATATATATTGGATTTCAAAGATTTAGGAGCTCGGGTGGCACAGTGGTTAAGGTACTCTGCCACCAACCAAAAGGTGAGTGGTTCAAATCAGTAGCTGCTCCTCAGGAGAAAGATGTGGCAGTCTGCTTCTGTAAAGCTTTACAACTTTGAAAGCTCTATGGGGTAGTTCTTGTGTGTCCTATAGGGTCACTATAAGGTGGAATTGACTCATTGGCAGTGAGTGTGGGTTTCCCTCCCCCGCAAAGACTTAGCATGAAAAAAACAATGTAAAACAGTTCATTAAGAATCCTATTAGATTGATAACATGTTGAGATGATTATGGTTTGGATACACTGAATTAAATAAAAGATACTATTAAAATTAACTGTACCTGTTTCTTTTTTACTTTTATAAAGTGACTGTACTAGAAAGCTGGAAATTACATATGTGACCCATGTTAAATTTCAGTGCATGTTAAATTGGACAGTGCAGCTGTGGAGTCTTTGGGGCACATGAAACAGCATGTCTCCATTATAGATGTATCATCTGCTCCTCATTGCCTCAGGGGGATTCCTGGAGAAAATTTCTGGAAACTGCAATGCTGCTCCTGCCCTTAGCCGCATTGCGGAGGGGGCAACTGGAGAGAAAATTGCTAGCACCAGACCTTCATCAGCTGCTGGTGGAAGAATTTGGAGAGAAGAGGGAGGACTGTGGTCCTTAGAAGTCTTTCGAGTACCTTCTAAACCAGAGAGTGGAAAGTTGTTGGCATGCCGGTTGAACTGCGTGTGCATATGTGTGTGGGGTGAGGAGGTTGGAGGCTGGAGGCTGGAGGTTCAGGGTTACACATTTCTCAGCCTCTCTCTCCGAACTGCTAGGTCTTCATATATGGTTCTCCACTCTCAGCCTATCTTCCCATCCCTGCCGACTCCTCTCCTCTGTCCGGACAGTTTGAGCTGGGCATCTTATGAGTGGAGTCTCTTCAGAGCAAGGGCAATAGCAGTAGGGATCAGCTAGGAAGCTAGTGATGTTTGCATGTAGTTTGGTGGATGGTGGGTGGGAGCTCAAAGGTGGGAGCTTAAAGGAGGGGAACTAAGGACACTGGGCAGATGGTACTGCAGAGAGAAAGGCTCCCTAGGGCCTCGTGATTCTTTACTTCTCAACCCCTCCTCCCGGCTCCTTTTCTCATCCTTTTACTCCTCCCCTTCTCCATGATGCGGAGACAGTTGTCCTCTCCCTCGAGCTCTCTCTCCTCTTTTTTTCCTCTGGCTCTCCTTTGCCCTCTACTTGAGGAACACTCAGTGGCAGTCAGCAGCTCCACCTCCCACCTGGGGGCTCCAAGACAACGACCACTATCCAGAGATAGCTTAGCCTCCCACTGGGGCTGCACTAAACAGGAGCAAGGGGAATCTAGAGAAGGATAGTGGAAATTAACTAGGCAGGCAGTTCCTGCTGCTGGCTCCTCCCTCCGCTTTTCACTACAGCTTGCTGGGCCCTTCTCATGCTACTCCAAGCCTCATTGCTGCTGTGTTCCAGGTCTCTCCTTTGGCAACAGCAGTTTCTCTTCTGTGGCTAGTCATTTTTTAGGAGTTGCCTTCTTGTTTGCCCCCTAAGGCACTAGGAAGCTGTGGGGTAGGAACGATTAGGAGGTCCTTCAAGAAATGACAAGGGAAAGAATCTTACTTGGGAATTTCCTCCTAGGGGAAAGTGCAGGATGGAGATTCTGCCTTCTCTAGCTCCAGAGATGGGGAGGGTGAGGGAAGAAGTTGAGACTGAAAATGGGTCTGGGGAGGCTGATCTCTCTCTCCAGGCACAGTGGACCTTCTCTTTGTTTATAAACCACTGAGTATGAGCCAGGAGCTCATTAGAATACATAATCAGTGGGCTGGCAAAAAGGGTAGGAAGGGGAAGATTTGATAGAAATCATGGGTGGAAACAGGCAGAAGTAAAGAAAACTCCAGAGATGACTTAGTTTTGGCTATTAGAGCCTTGGTCTTTTGGCAGCAGGTTTAATGATCTGAAAGACAGAGGCAGGTGATGGAGGCTCATGCAGACAGTGTCAGTATGTAGTCTGTCTTCCCCCATCCCACATGCCATCCTCCTCTTTGTCTTAGGGATAGTGACTTTAGTTCCTAGCGCCTGGGGAGGCAGAAAAGACACAGAATCAGTCTGGTTAAGAGCAGAGACTCAAAGAAGCAAGTAGTATTCCTTTAAAGTAATCTTATAACTGTGGTTGGCAACTGTTAGTAGTTGTTAAAGGATGTGTGTGTGAGAAGAAATCCTAGTGGCTAGACTAGCAGACTGGAGCCTGGTGCCTTGGTTATGTTTCCTGCTGTGTGTGTGTGTGTTGTTGGGGTGGAAAATGGGTGGGGAGGTTTGGTCTGATGACAGAGTCTGTATTATCTTCAGCAACCTGGAGCCTCAGGGAAGAGATGTGACAATGCTGTCCTCAGACTCTATCAGGAGGCACCATTACTGGCTGACACAATGCAGGCAAGAGGTGTTAGAACTCTGTGCTGCTCAGGACTAGATTCTGATCCAAGCAGTCGTCTGGGTTCTACCTTCCCCTTTAGTATCTGAAGCTGGCTTGACTGGGCCCCCACTGTGGAAGGACAGGTCAGAAGAGCTTGGCAGTGACCCGGTTACCTCCAGAGTTCTTATCTCCAGAGGGCCGGGGTGCCACAAAGTCAAAGGTCATGTGGTGCTTGACCCGGCCCTTGCCCTTGCTCCAGAGGGCAATGAGGCCAAAGCAGAGGGTCACTGAGGTGAGGAAGGGGAGGAAGCCAACAGCCAGCACCATAACCACACCTCTGCTATCCAGAAAGAAAGGCTCAGGGATCCCTGGCATGGTGATGTTGGGGTCCGAGAGAGTGCCGTTTGGTGGTTCCACTTGGATCACCTCCAGCCATGTCCTCAGGGAGTCATTCCCAGCTACGTTGCTGACCATGCAGACGTAAGGCCCTCTATCCCGTAGCTGTACTGAGCGGATCTCCAGGGTCCCATCCTCTAGGACCCTTACTCTCCCAGCCCTTCCCAGCCAAGCCCCCTGAGGCCTCATCCAGGAGACAGTAGGGACTGGGTCTCCGTCTCCAGAGCAGGAGAAAATGGCTTGTCCTCCCTCCTCTGCAATGACCCATCGTGGTCCAGATTTTTGGATCAGGGCTGGTTTGCAAGTGAAGTGTCCCGGAGGTAGGATGTCTGAAAACTCCCGCAAACTCTTCCCCTGGACATGCTGGGGACCGGCACAAGCAGGGGGGGATGTGCCAAAGTCCAGGTGGTGCCGTAGCCGCAGCAGCCAGAGGAGGCGGCAGTCACAGGTCAGGGGGTTGCCAGACAGCTTCAGTGTGACCAGTTTGTCTGGAGAAGGGAAGGCTGTTTCCTCTAGTGTCTGAAGGTCATTATCTTCCACATCCAGCAGATGGAAGGCAGTTAAGCCGTGGAAGGCATGGGCCTCGATGGAGGTGAGGCATGCCCCCGACAGTCGGAGCTCCTGGAGCCTCACCAGGGGGCTGAGCTTCCGGGCAGGGATGGCCGAGATGGGGTTCTGAGACAGATCCAGGACCCTGAGGAAGCTCAGGTGGTACAGCGCTTGGAAGGGCACTGAGCTCAGATTGCAACGGGTGATGGCCAGGCTACTGAGGTTGAGCCCCACCAGACTGCCAGGCTCCAGATCTTCAAGGGGCGGCCAGTGGTGTATCTCCAGCTCCTTGAGCTGCCCCAGCCCGCGAAGCGCTCCAGCCGGCAGCCTCCCAATATCCAGTTCTCGAAGGCGCAGGGCCGATAGCCCCGGGAGACGGGCCAGGGCTAGGCCAGGCACAGTGCTGAGGTTGCAGCGCTCTAAGGTGAGGGTGCCCAGCTTGGCCAACCCTGAAAAGGCCCCCGGGGCCACAAACACCAGATGGTTGTCTCCTACCTCTAACTGCTGGAGGCTGCCCAGCTCCCCAAAAGCGCCATCTAGGAAGAGGACAATTTGGTTGAGGCGGAGGTCCAGCAGAGTGAGGGCAGACAGGCCTGCAAAGACCCCTTGCCCCAGGATTCGGAGCCGATTGCCCTGCAGCCTTAGGGTGAGTAGACTTTGTAGGCCGTGGAAGGCCCCAGGTTCAAGGGTGGACAGTTGGTTATAGCTGAGGTCCAGTTCTCGGAGCAGGCCCAGGCGGGAGAGCATCCCCCGTTGAAGCCCCCACAGGCGGTTCCCATTAAGGTCCAGGAGCTCTGTGTCCAGTGGAAGTCCCCCAGGTACAGCCTCCAGTCGCCTGTGGGCACAGAGCACGGCGCGGGGCTGGGAGGTACAGTCGCACACGGCAGGGCAGCTGCCACTACTCCTTCCAGGGAGGAGGAGCAGCAGTAGGAGGGGGCCCATTGGGGGCCAGGCTGTGACCATCCCCTCTTCAGTCCTGGAATAGATGACGACATGGCCCTGTTGGGAAAGTGACTTCAGATGATGGTGACCCCAGGTCTCCCTGGCCTTCCTGAGGGTGGAGAGATTGGCCTGTCCACCTTAACATTGCCAGCAAGTGAGCACAGGACCATACAGAGTTATACCACCTCCCGGGGTCTCCTGGTGCCCCTCTTTTGGGGACTTCGATTTTCCTCCCGCTTCCAGATCATAATGCGAGTCCTGATGTGGCGCTGTGGGCTAATGCGTCAGATTGCAAAGCCATTTGAACCGCAAGGTCGGTGGTTCAAACTCACCAGCTGCTCCATGGAAACCCTATACAGGGTCACTGTTGGGTTGGAATTAACTCAACGGCACTTGACAACTACAACTTGGTGCTTATTAGCTCACAGAACCCTAGTTAAGTTTGCTTACTGTGGAAAAAGTTTTATGGGAACAGGGCAGGAAGTGGCAGGGAAACAACTTTCAATCCACCCCACCCCTGCCCTGTGTGTTTGGGATCTAGAGACACCTCAGCTCCTTCCTCCATGATATCTGCTCTCTGCATGCTCTGCTGTCTTTTTCTGCCCACCCTTGTCCCCCATTATAACTCATGTGAAGTATGGATATTATGTTGCCTTATCTACCCGTAGCTTTGCTTAAGGCTTAGGGGGTTTGTGGCCTTGGCCTCAAGCTCCCTGTCCTGAGAGGCACACATCTTGATGAAATCATCTGAGGCTGGGAACTGTACATGTCTTAGCTCGGTCCCCTTCATGCCCCCCCAATCTCCACTTATTGTCCCTGTCTTCCTCCAGCTTGGCCCAGGGCCAGAGGCCCTGGACTAACAAGATCCAGTCTTCCCAGAATGTCTGGGTGGATGGTGGCCAAGCTGCACATTAGCCATGGCAGACGATACGGGGGATTCGACTGGGGAGCTAGGAATTCCCTTCCAGAGCCCTGAAGCCATAACTCCAAGGGCTGTCTTTTCTTTCCTGTGATAAAGGGTGGGCTAGGTGTGTGAGGGACCCAAGAGATGTCCAAGTTTTGAGTTTTGTTGTTTCTCAGGTTTAGGCTTCTCTTAGATTCTTCACTAATGGAAGTTTTTAAAAAATATTGTCTTTTTGTTGAAGATAATTATTAAAGATAATATAGCAGCATTACAAATATTTGGAAGTCATAGGAAAATCACTTGTGATTGTTCCTAACAAAATGCATGCATGTGTGTTGGTGTGCTTACTGGTGTTCTTTTTCAGTGGTTGTCTATAAAACTTTATCTACTTACATTATATTTTTTAAGTATTTTGTTGTCTTAGGTGAAAGTTTACATTAGCCAATTAGGTTCCCTTTTAACAATTTTTATACAGATTGTTCTATGCCCTTGGATACAATGTTTACAATGTGTCAGCATTCTCCACAGTTAGTTCTATTCTGTTTGTTCTCTTTCCACTGATCTAGTTTCCTTTCCCTTCCTTATCTTCTCATCTTTGCTTGAGTACTGTTGATTGTTTGCTTGTATACAGTTAATTGTTGAAGGGAACACACGACTTATGGGCGATAGTGTATATTTTATAAGCCAATCTATTATTTGTCTGAAAAGTGACCTGCAGAAACAGTTTCAGTTCCAAGTTAAAAGAATATCTTAGGATGATGTCTTAGGGACTTCTTTTAGTCTTTGATTTCCTTAATTCTCTTTTGCTCCATAAGATTAGAGACCAGTCATTTGATCTCAAATGGCCACTGGCAATTTTTTAAGGCGCTCCAGGCCCTAATCACTAAACTAGAATGTAGCATATTATCTTTGTGAACTATGCTATGCCAGTTGAGTAAGTTGTCCCCTGAGACACTAGTGGAGTTTTGATTCAAGTCCAGTGTTTGAGTCAGAGGGAGATTTCTTGTCCCCTTTGGTCTCAGGTATATAAGAGACAGAGTATGAACTAGGGAGGCACAGGTAAGGAGGGGAGGTAGTAACTGACCAGATGCTTGGTGCTGTAGGGAGAAAGGGAGCCCTTGGCTGGCACAGCAGATATCTAGGCACTGGCCGTCTGTTTGCAGAGCCTATTGACTTTGTACTTCTGGGTACCAGGAGCCAGGGCACTATGGGGAAGATGGTGACCATGACAACCACTAGAGACTGAGGTGACAGAGGAATAAGAGTCCTATAGGTAATAAAAGCCCCTCGTCTCAGCCTTTGCACTGCCAAAGGGGCCTTAATGGAGGGAAAGTATTGTAACTGGTGAGGAATGGCTAAAGGGTTAGACACCTGAGACAATTGATGCTCCCTGGGAGGATTTCTCCCTAGCTGTGGAGGCGACCACCTCTGAGTAGAATCCATCATTGTCTGGCTTTCTGGACCCCTCAGGGTCAGCATTCCACAACAAGCCCTGGGGATCCCCTCCCTTCCCACTGTACTTAGGAGAGGCAATTTAAAGACAGCACAATTGCTTCCCCTTTCCTTCCCACTCTACACCCTCTTCTAGGAGGAGTGTTCTGGTTGCCATCCTCTAGCCACTTCAGAGGACTCTAGTAGCTGGGAAATGGAAGAAAGAGGCCAAAGAGCAGTTAGAGGGATGCAGGATAGAGTCCATGGAAATCGTTCTCAGGTTTGGGGATAAGAACAAACAGCAAGGGCAAAGCTGCAGGCCAGACTTCTCTTGCCCCAGCCTAATAAGTATAGCCTGCTCAGAGTTCTCCAAGGAGAGAAATGCCCCAGCCTCATTCTCCCTGTGTCTGCTGTGGGAAGTCCTTCTGACAGCTAACTCTTCATCACTGCCACTGCAGTTCCTGCTGATTCTTCTTCCTCTGCGCCCAGCAGAAGTGCAATGAGGCATGTAACCCAGCTTCCCTCCTTCCCACTTCTGTGAGTTTCCTCTCAGTCTGAAAAGCCTGATGGGCTAGGGGTGGGGGGGTGGGAGGTATGACCTGCAGCCACCCTCTTTTTTTTTAAATTTATAAGGTGGCTAATTTAATCATAAACTTTTCTGGCCAATCTCTATGGCTACAGGACTGACTCCCATCTACTTTGCAGGGACAGGTAAGTCCTGAGACCCCTTCTTTCTTTCCTTAGGTGGGGGAGGAGGCTGGAGCATGGCCCCAGTAAGGAATGGGCAGCTTTCCTGTTCTTGTCCTTAAGTAGCATCCAGAGACACAGTTGAGCCTGGATATACTCTTTTTTTTTAAAGATCTGATTGAGGTTGGGGTCTAATGTGGGGAAGGGGGGACTCTTGGGGGAGAGACTTCTGAATATCCACACTGGTTGCTAATACCGCCCCCCACCCCAGGAGAGCATTGGGAGATGAAGGCAGAAGTGAAGGAAGGGAGGTCTCCTTGTAGTCCTCTGGGACAGTTTAGTTTCTCAAAGTCCTGTGGGGTCATGGTTTATGGTGGGCTTGCGGGGATGGTGGTGACACAAACCCTTTTGCTTTGACGGGTCTGGCCTTGTCCCTGAGAAACATAATGGAAGGAGCAGCTTTGGGATAGGGGCTGGGGGCACTTACCCGAAAAGCAGGAGGGCTGCATCAAGTTGGGCACTGCATCTGTCCAGGGGTGGGGGCCTCGTCCCATCTGAGCTGTACCTTAGGCTCCTCACCCCCCGCCTCTCCCCCCACAAGTGCCTCACTCCCTGCTGTCTGCCGCGGCTGCTACTGCAGCTGCTGCTGCCAAGACTGAGGTAGAGAAAAGAGCCAGAAAGCATTTCTCCTTTCTCTCTCTCTCTCTTTTTAAACCAGGCGAGAATGAGTCTGCAACAACCCTGTTGGTGCAAAATAAATAAATAAAGCCACTAGGGAGGGCTGCAGCAATTGGGGTGGGAGGAAAGGGTTGACAATGGAGGTGGCTGGGGTCTCTCAGGCCAAGCCTTCCAGGGGGATGTGCTCCCAGATGCAGGGCAGTTCTGTGGAACCTCTCAATGGAATGTTCCCTATGGGGTGTCTTTGTGTGGGGAAATCTAGAACAATGCTATGGAGTTTAGTCTTCAGGTCCTTCAGGAGGGAGGGAGGTTCTTGAGGCATTCTCTCTTAGCTCCCCAACCTCAGGGTAGGTGGGGGGGGGGGAGGCGACTAACTGCTTGGGAGGAGAGGGCTGAGGGTGGATTGCTGAGCTGGAAACTAGGATCTGGAAAACAGGCATGTAGGTCAGCTTATTTAAGACCCCCTCACCTCCACCTCTTGCCTTTAAAATCATTTAATAAAAAATGGTACAAGTTGGGGTTGATGTTTCCTTCACGAATCCCCTCTTCTGAGAATAAAAAGAAAATATCCCATCCCTCCCTATCACCTGCTGTTTATACCTCAGATGAGGGTTCCCAGTTATTTATAAAGCCAGGAGATGGGCTGGGAACATAGATAGGTGCCCTTAGTCCTTCCACACTTGGGAACGGTGGTTCCCAGCCACACAGGGTGGAACTGTGTCTGCTTGCTTTCTCCACAAGGAGAGCATGGCTGGAGGGCAGGGTCTGTGCTTGGTTTTCTGGGCAGTGTCCAGCCGTGTCTCCTCCTCTTAGGGTTTCCTATGGTTGAGATGGTTGCAGCTGGGGAAGAGAGTATACCACTCCACATCTAATGTTGGTGGCCTGGAGCATGGTGGAATGCTATGGGGTCCCTCAGGATCGGAGTCTTCCCTGAGGCCACCAAGCTTCTCAGAGCTGTGACCCCAAGGAGGAGGAGGGTGGTGTCATGTTCAGTGTATCTATAGAGCTGCTAAAGTGCAGGCTGAGACTGAATGGGTTTCACCGGTATGAGGACGTGTTTCTCTGAGCAGATTTGTGGTAACGCCTAAAGCTGGTGTTTAAAGTGCACAGCGAAGAGGCTTGAATTCTAACTCTCTCCTATGTCTGTGATGCTCTTGGTCTTCATTGTACCCTATTCCCACAGCCATAAAACAATTCTCCCCAGCTCTGTGCCCCTGCCCCCTCTTTACTCTCCACATATCTAGTTTTCTTTCCTCCCTTCTCGCTGTTGTTAAGTGCTGTTGAGTTGGTTTTGACCCATAGCTACCCTTCATAGGGTTTCTGAGGAACGGCTGGTGAGCTTGAACCTTGCGGTTCAAACCGACCTTGCAGTCTAGTGCATTAATCCACAGCGCCACCACAAGGATCCAGAAGTCTCTTGTTGTTTGTTGTTAAGCACCGTTGAGTCAATTCCGACCGATAGCAACCTTGTATAAGGTTTCCAAGGATCAGCTAGTGAGCTTCAACCACCAACTTTGCAGTTCAAATGGCTTTGCAGTCTGGCGCATTAACCCAGAGCATCATACCAGAAGTCTCTTAGGCCCTGGGAAAAGGGCAGGGTACCCAACCATTTCCTTGCTGAGTTGGGAGGAAGGAGGAAGGCAGAAAATCTAAAGATTCAAATTCGTGTTATGTAAACCGACTCGACGGCACTTAACAACAACAACAACATAGTTCCTTCTGGGCTCCAGTTACCAGTCTCCGAGCTTGATCCAGCCCTCCCGCCCCCCTCCCCCCAGCTTGAAGCCCATGGAGAGAGGCAATGAGGTATTTCAAAGACCTATTCTTAGCTTCTGAGCCCAGAGCTGAGTTGTGTTCATCAGGGTGGCCTGGACTCCCTTATTATCCTGAGGATACCCTGGTCCTCCTAGAGGTTCTTATATCCCATCCCACCGCAGGGCCACCAGAAGTTGGGGGTAAGGTGGGAAATGAGATAGAACAGAGCTGAGTCTGGAGCTGGCGTCCCTCTATCCCCAATCCCTGGCTACTGCCTCGCTGCCAGGCAAGTCTGTGGGCAGAAAACCAGTTTCAGCGCTTGTTCACGCCTAGAGAACATGTGGGGACCACCCTCCAGATGATACAGGAAAGAAAAAGACTGAGGTGGAAGGGGGTCCTGGGAAGTGGGCCAGCAGGATCTAGGGCAGGTCACTCCGACAGCCCCTCAGGTGGCTCAAGTTCAGTGCTGAAGAGTTCCTTGTAGAGTGGGGGGAAAGCAGCTTGGACCACAATGGGATGGAGGTTCCGGAAGGTTTGCAGCTTTTCCACATGCTGGCTGCACAGGCTCCGAAGCTTCCCCTTGGGTGGCAGCTGGAGATGGGGTTATAGGGAAGCCGGGAGTCAGTATTTCAGCCCAAGGCACCACCTCTCTCCCCAGGGCAAAGACATCCTATCTTCATTCCTGGGCTAGGATAACCTTCCTTGCTTTTCCCGGTGCTCTTGGCATTTCTGGAACAACCAAACCCCATTGAGGGGGGCTTGTATGAAGGGGCTTCAAAACGTTTGTGGAGTGATAGGAACCACCTTGTTCTGCTGGAGGCCACCATCCAAGAAGTGCTTTGCATCCGCTCATCCCCCACAAGACTTCCACTGACTCCTTCCCTTCCATTGACATCTAGCCCTATGATGCCTCCAACATTGATTGCTGGTCCTCCAGCTCCTTCTGCCCCTTTGCCTGCTGGTTAACCTAGAGTCAACCACTGACTAATCACCCCTCCAATGATCTACTAATAAACCCACTGCCACCTAAAAAAAAAAAAAAAAAAAAAAAAAAGTTTGTGGAAAAATGGGATTAAAAGATAATGGATTTTCTCCACAAATTTTCTGAAACCTCCTCACAGGAAATGGGGGACAGGTAAGAACTAATGTAGGACAGGTGCATGTTTCTTGGGTGGCACCTCCAAAGCAAAGACTCTGTAACTCATACTTTATGCTCTTAGAATAATGCATTTCTGTGACTTTCCGGGCTATATGCTGCCACATGTCTCCACCTTTGTTCATACTGCTTCTCTTATCTGGAATTTCTTTCCATCTCTTCTTTGTTTGACTAATTCTTCTATACTTTCAAGTGTTACTCTTCGCTCTCCCCAACTACCTCTTTCCCCAACTATCCTGTTCTGGATTAAAGGTCCTTCCTTTGGGCTTTTCCCTACATAGCTCTTACCGCATTGTAGCAAAATGATCCAATTGTCTGCCTTCCCACTCTAATCTAATCTCTCTCTTTCTCTGTATCATCTGTACCTATCATAGTGCACATGGCAAATGCTCAAGGACTGTTTGTTGGAACTAAACAGAATTTCCAAGCAGGTACCCAACATTGCAAGCAGTAAACTACCACTGCAGGTGCTCCGCCGGAGGGGAAATACAAGAGAAGCAGAGACCCACTTGGAAACAAATGAAGGAAAACCTCACTGGAGAAAGGCTGCAAAAAGCATTTCTCTCCTGCCATTTGCATACCTGTACCTCTCACCAACCACCCCAGCTTCATTTCCTAGAAGAGGAGAAGCCAGGGGAGTGTAGGCAGGCGGGGCAACCCTTGATGATTCTTAAGTTCAGCTTCTTTTCATCTCTACTGTTTCACTTGGAGTTTATCTGGGCTATTACAATAGTTCCCCTCATTCATTTAACAAATATGAGGGGGCTTCGAAAAGTTCATGGAAAAATTCCCTTATCTTTCAATTCCATGTTTCCATGAATTTTGTGAAGCATCCTTGAATTTGTTGAGATACTACCCTGGGCTAGAACTTGTGATGGGCTCTAGTGATACATCCATAAATAAAAGAAGAGCTTGACTGTTATTAAATTTACATTCTGGTAGGAAAATAAAATAAGCAAAGATACAATGTGTCAGATAACAAGTCCTATCAAAAAGAGCAAAGCAGGGCGTGGGGTGGTCAGGGAAAACCTGTCCCGTTGGAGAAAGCCATTTGGAAAACTGATGGAAGAAAATTGCAGGCGGCCGGAATAACAGGTAGAAAAGCTCTGAGATGGGATCAGCTTGATGTGTTCATGGATTACAAGAAGGCGCCATGTGGCTGGAACGGTTGATGTAGGGGCAGTGGGAGGGGAGCAGGTGAGAAAAGAAATCAAGAATCGAGGCTTTTTAGCCATGACACAGACTCTGGATTTGCTTATACGCACGATAGGCAACTATGGGGGGATTGAGAAACAGAATGCCACATGGTGTGATTGTCTTTAAAAGGTTCATTGTGGCTCCTGCAGGGCAGAGAGGGGTGAAGCAGGGTTTCAATTAGGAGGTCTCCCAAATGGTCTAACCAAATGGTCTAAGTGGGAACTGATGGCGGCTGGGTTAGCCTAGTAATAGATTTTTGAAGGTGGAACATATCCCCAAGTTTCCAGTCTTTCATCCTAATCAAAACCCACCAGACATGAAGTTCTTGTTTAAATCATCTTTGCATCCTAACACTATGCCTGGCACACAGCATGTACCCAACAGAGATTGCTTGGATGATTACATAAGTGGTTCTTGTGCACTCGTTCCAAATTAAGTTGCCTAAATATTAGCTCTGATTATATCATTCCTCTAGCCTTTGGTATGCCCGAATGCCTAGAAATAAATCCGTGACTCTTTAATATGGCATTGAAAGTCCTCTGTAATTTACCCATGGCCTAATTTTTAGCCTTATCATTTCCTGTTTTGCCCCCATCAATCTATCCCAGCTCCGGATCTTAAACTTCAGTCACCATGAGCTAGTCTCTATCAATGCACTATTTTACCTTCTTCCTTTGATTCATATTATTCCCTAAACCTGGAATGCCTGTTTCATACCCATGAATATGTGGCAAAACCTTACATCTTTCATAAACCCCCAAAACCAAACCCATTGCCACTGAGTCATAGCGTCCCTATAGGACAGGATAGAACTGTCTCATAGAGTTACCAAGGCTGTAAACTTTACTGAAGTTGAATTGGCTGGTGGGCTTGAACTGCTGACCTTTGAGTTGGCAGCCAAGCACTTAACCACTGCACCATCAAGGCTCCTACATCCTTCATTACCTAGTTTAAATGCTATCTTCTCTAGGAAGCATTTATGAGCCACTCATTTTACTATTATTGTTCCTGTTCTGTGTGCTCACAGAAACCCTATACAGGGTGGCTATGAGTTAGAGTAGACTTGACAGCACTTAACAACAACAACACGCTATCATAACAACAAAGTACACGGTGGAAAAAATACCAGGATTAGATCTTGCATTCACCACAAATTGTATAAACGTGGACAAGTTCCTTCAGACTCCTTATCTGCTACAGGGAGATTTTAGCACCTATCCTATTTGACTGGGTTGCAGTGAGGATGAGAGCGCATACAAGGGTCCTTGAAAAAGTTAATGGAAAAATTAGGTGAAAAGTTAATGGAATTTCTCCACAAGCTTTTTGAAGCACCCTCATATCTGCAAAACTACTTTGTTAATTGCATTGTTATATCACACAGCACATTTTGCCCTATATTAGTTATTGGGACATGAGTCTTTTCTTCATATTAGACTATGAACTCTCTGTGGAGGCGAAGACCGCATCGCTGTATCTTTCCACAGTGCCTTGTACAAGCAGGTGCTGGGTAAGTGTTGGTATATTAAACAGAATTGTTCCCTGGAGGTCCCTCCCAATTTCAGGCTCTCCAATTTCCATCTTTACTTGCATGGAAGTGACTGCTTATTCCCTTCATTCCCACTGCTGTCACAAGCTCTCTAACGCAGTAAGACACACAAGCATTCCTTCTTCTGTACCCTGAGACCCTCACCCTACTAGGCTTGATGTCACAGATCTGCCACTGAGCCTGGTCTTCCACCCAAGGGGCTGCGTTTACCTTTGCCAAGATGCCTTGGCGATGAGTCTTGCAGAGATGGTGATGAAAGGCCAGCTCTAGGTTGTACTGCAGCTGCTCTACTTTCCTTTTGTCTTGGAGCCCTGGCCGACCTAAAGGAGGGGATGGAGCCATAGCAGAGACAAGAAGGAATATGGATGCAAACTTCTACCAAAAGGGTGTGTTCTGGAGGCCATCTGGGCTAGACAGAGGCCTTCTCAACAGAGGGTATATGTGTGCTTCTTGTCTTTGGTAATAGTAAGCTCTGGGACCTTGGGTTTGGCTCATAGTTTACAAAGAAAACTAGGGGAGAGATGAAAGTGGTGAGAATTTTGTCTTCCAACTCCAAGTTATTTTCTCCCTGGTACCCTGATTGCACACAGCCTTTTCAATGTCAGGCACCAGGATTCCACCATGAAAAAGAAAAAAAAAAAAAGTTTGGAAGGGAGCACTCCTTCCCCTCAAAGATGACCCCAGACAGATGATGACCTCAGTGAAGCTCGCCTTCATCCGTGCTTCCTGGCCAGTACCAGGATTCTCCATTTGTCTGTGGCTTCAACACCAAAACAAAAATCCAAACCCACTGTCGCTGAGTTGATTCTAACGCATAGTAATGCTATAAACCTTTACAGGAGCAGACAGCTTCATCACCCCCTCCCTCCACCCTCCAGGAACGGCTTGTGGGTTTGAATTACCAACCATGCAGGTAGCAGTCCAGTGCCTATCCTGCAGTGCCACCAGGAGCTCAACACAAAAACCACCTTTTGCCCTGGTGGTGGTGGTGTGCTGTCAACTAGATTCCAACTCAGAGTGTCCCTGTGTAGGGTTTCCAAGGCTGTAAATCTTTATGGGAGAACACAACCTCATCTTTCTTCCATGGAGTGATGGAGTGGCTGGTAGGTTTGAACTGCTGATCTTGTGGTTAGCAGCCCAATGTGTAACCACTACGCTACCAGAGCTCCTTAAAACTGTCAGCTGTCATCTTCTCTTCTAGTTTTACAACTTCTTTCTGCTCTTAAAGAGCTCTTTTAAGCTTTTATTTCCAGTTTGGAGGGGCATGTTTAGGTCTGTATTCATGGTCTAAAGAATGATAATCTTGACCTTCAAACTCAAGATTAGCAACTCCAGTCACTTCCCCAGGCCTTCTCTGAATACTGAGCATTCAGCTGGGTCAGTTCAGCCCACCCAGTGAATGGAATATCCTGAATGCTGCCAAGTCAGTTCTGATGCATGGTGACCCCAGGTGTGTAAGAGTAGAACTGGGCTCCATAGGGTTTTCAATGTTTGACTTTTCAGAAGCAGATCTTCAGGCCTTCCTTCTGAGGTGACTCTAGGTGGACTTGAACCTCCACCCTTTTGGTTAGCAGCTGAGTGTGTTAACTTCTTGCCAGGGGCAAACAGTCACCCAGGGAGTCCATTATAGGCATGCAGTCTTAAAATTAGTTCACCTTGACAGTGTATTACAATCACCTGGGGAGCTTTTAAAAACATTGTTGCTCTAGCTGCAACGGGCAGATCAATTATATGAAAATCTCTGTGAGTGGGGGCCAGGTGTTAGTATTTTTGAAAAGGTATCCGGTGATTCCAGCATGAAGTCACAACGGAATCACTGACACATAATCTCACGTTTCCCCACTTCCACACCCCCGCCTTGGGCTGCGCTCTCCATCTCAGAGGCATCTCTAAACCTTCACGTTAACCCCTCTTACTAGGTAGCGATATTGGGTGGAGCTCAGTTGCTATTTAAAGAGATTCCCCAGATTTAACCACTTCCTAAGGGCCAGGTTCTCCCATATCCGTCACGCCCTGCTGCCACCTGAATGTCCTTGACCCAAGCCCAGCGACACTCACTGGCATTGATGAGAACGAGGGCTGTGTAGAGGGCAATCTCATCCTCAGAAAAGCGCAAGGCACTTAGGGAGTGGGAGAAGTCGAAGATGGCACCGATGAGCTCGCTGCAGCCTGAAGGGGTGGAAATGAGAAGAGACATTGACCTAGGTGAGACCCCACCCTCTAGGTGTCTGGAGCACAGAGGCCAATCTGCCCTGAAAAGAACACCCTGGGCCACAAAGTTCTGGATAGGGTTGGCATCAGACTCATTTGTCTTTCTCCTCATCCCCTCACCCAAGGCTCGAAACAGCTCCATGCCACCGTATTTGCCTTCAAAAAAGACTGTGTGGTTGTCAGCATTGTAGGCCCGGCACATCCTGACCAACACCACTTCCATTGCTCCTGGGAGTGGGGAGAAAAGATGCAGAGACAGCGTCAGTCAAGCCGGGAACTTCTCTGTCCCCATCAGTGTCCTGCTTTCCTCAGGCCATCTCTCTCCACTAGGCTCTGCCCTCCCGCCCACCCCAGGCACCTGCTTTGAGCAGCACGATCTGGTCATTCTGGCAGAGTTCCATAAAGCCCATGAGCCTCTTAGCGAACTCCACCACGTACTGGATGGCCTCCGTGAGGCGGTGGGCACAGCGCTCCCACATCTCCCACATGGACTGCAGAAGAAGAGGAGGGTCCTGCTGTAGCCCTTTATGACTCTGTGTCCCTCAAGCCCTTGGGAGCCCCAACTAGTAAAAAAGCTTATGAGATACAGCTTTGCCGTCAAAGGGTTTGCATTCTTGTTGAGGTAAAAAGAATACATCCAAAGGTCTTGAACCTATCCTTCTCAGTTTGGTCATGTCTGAGGAAGCCAAACTGGAACAGATCAGAATTTGCAAAATGTGGGTGCCTGGAACAGTAGTTGGAATAGGAAAAGTTATGAGTCAATGTCCTGGAACTGGAGACTCAGAAGAGGCATGATGTGGGAGGTTGTGTTATTGTCAGAACTGTGGAGAGGGACACACATTCAAAGCAGTGCTGCTGGCCACCATCTTTGCATAGGACGCTGTTATTTTGGACTCTGCCAATCAAGAGATCTGGCAGCTGTGCAATGCCCATGCTGCCTTTGTGTTCTGAGAGGGAGATTAAGTTTCTAGTAGTGCATCAACCCATAATTTTCCCAGTTCTGGTCTTTATTCTAGGTACCCACAATTTGCAAATTCTGGTCCATTCCAGTTTGGCTTCTTCAGCCAAGACCAAACGGGGAAGAACTGGTTTGAAGCCCTGCTAACCTCCCAGGGAGGCAAATGTTAAGCACCAAATGAGTGCTTTTAGAGCAGGTGGTATGGTCAGAGTGATAGAAGACAGCAAGCTTTGACACCACCACCCTGTGTCCTTGAGTAAGTCTATCACCACCACCACCAGCTTAGAACCTAAAAATAGGAATAAATAGCATTCTCATGGGTTGGCTGTTAAAAGGATCCAGGATAATTTATGCAAAGCATTTAACCCAGTGCCTGGCAGAGAAGGGGTGCTTAACAAATGGTTGTCAGGATTATGATTATTGTTATTATTGGTAGAGAAGGTGGAAAGTTGGGTGAAATTTTAGTAGGCAGACACTAGGGAAAAACTCATCCATCTGCCAGGGTTTAGACACACAACACACAACATACATAAAAATAAGTGGGTGGGTACACCTGTTGGCAGACCTGTGTCTACAACATCCTGGCCCTCTCCTGCCCATGCTTTTGTTCGTGTGGTTTGTGTTCGTGTGGCCATCTCTGGACTCTCCTAGTGGTGATAGGTGACCTCCCTTCCTAGCATGGCCCCCTGGCCTCACCTTCCTCTGGTAGCTGGTCACCTCCTCCCGTGAGAAGATGTTGGGACGTTGCCGTAGCAGATCCTCCAGCCGCAGCTGACATGTCTCGCGGTACGACTTACAAACGTTCTGCACCAGGTGTTCTGGGGCCAGAGGAAGAAGGCATGAGCTTGATCTTGGCCGGCTCCTACCCCTACCCATACAAGGGGCTCCACTGCCTGGACTACCCCCGCTCTGCCTCCTCCCTGGACTCTTGTTCAGGGTCCCTCAACTCCCTTGGGCACACATGTACACAGGTACTGGCTGAGGACCCTCTCTGAAGTCCCTCCCTCACCTTTGACACCCTATCCACCTCCCCAGCTGCTCACCAATCTCTGTCAGTGAGGCATAAGGTGTCTCTGGGGTGCTGCGGAAACTGGGACTATAGTCCAGACCTCGTCCTGGTTCCCCCAGCCCAAGATGCCTGTGTTCCTCAAAATGAAGTCCGCATCTGTCAGGAGTCAGTTGATTGCTTGTGCTACAGTAGCTCTCTCTGCTGTCAGCCTTGCCCCGCTCAGGGCTGTATTCAAGATGGAAGGAGGCCCTGTTGAGCCCTGACTTGGCCAAGTTACTGGAATATGAGGGCCCAGAACCTGGGGCTCTCAGGAGGCCAGGGGGACAGGCTGAGGCCTCCGGCAGGTCAGGTGAGGAGCCCAGGGGCAACTGGCTGTCTGGGAGCCCTAAGGTATAGGTGAGGGTGTCTGCTCCTTGGCCCCCTGTGGGAGGGGTCTTGGCCACTTGTTCCCGTTGCTGCTGCTGCCTCTGCAGTTGTTTCTGCACTTCCGCATGCAGGCTGTCCCTCTGCTTCTTGGACATGCGGCCGAACTTGACAGCTGAAATAGGTTTAGGGCTCAGGTTTTTGAAGCAGGAGAACATGGTACATATCAGACCAACCAGCATTTTGATCACTATAGGATTTCCTTGCTACTTACTGAATAGCTGACCCTAAGCAGAGCTCCTCTAGTCCAGAGCCTCCCTTCAGGGAACTCATGTTCATGAGCTTGCCCACGTTTTCTCTCTTGTTGGCTTCAAGGATCTATTCAGATCCCTGACAATTTCAACTCCTGAGTCGACTCCTCTAACTTGAAACCAGCTTCTAATAGTGGTCAAATTCAAGGAAAGACTTGGGTTGGGGATTTGGGCCTCCCTCTATTGGGACTGGGGGTGGTCAGGTCGAGAGCCTCAAGCTGTATTGGGGTCACCTCGCCTGTACAGGAGGGTCGGAGGAAGAGGAGAGCTGAGCACACAGGTCTCCCTGTGGTCAGGCCTGCCGGCTCCTTGGTGACCTAGATACTCACCACAGCCCAACCCAGGCTCGGCGGCTTGTTTCTGAACATCCTCTTCTGCTCTTTCTTTCCTGCCTTTTTACTCTCCCCCCACCCCTCCCAGGTGTGGGGGCACAGCCCCTCTCCCCGCCTGCCCCTTTGCGCCCCTGCCTGTTTCCTTTTGCTTTGTTATTTTGGGCACTCAAAAGTGCTGACAAGCTCCTTCTGGCTCTTCCTCACCTCGTGCCTCTCCCTCTTCCCCAATGGACCCCTCAGTGGTAGGGGTGAAGGAGCTGCTGAGATGGTGGTGGCTGAGGAAGATGGATAAAGGCCCTGGGAACACCAACCCTTCCCCATCCCATCCCCACACCTTCTGGGTTGTTCTCTGTCTGGCTCTGGCTCCCTTCCTAATGACAGTCCTGCGTCCTAGGAAGGGAGCTGGAGCTGGAACAATAGGGTAGGAAGGGGAGATTTGGAAGCTGGATGGACTGTGGGCCAAAGGGGAGGTGGAGTGAGAAGAATTCATCCCAAAAAGAAGAGACTGAAGATGTCTGGGGCCTTGGGAAAAGCAGGGTTGTTCTGTTGCTATTGAGATGGTTCTAACTCACGTTGATCTCATGTGTGTAATTGGGGAACTGCTCCATAGGGTTTTCAAGGCTGTGACCTTTTGGGAACGGACCGCCGGCCTATCTTCCAAAGCATTTCTGGGTGGGTTTGAAGCTCCAACCTTTCAGCTGGTAGCAGTGTCCAGAGATTCCTGTGTTGTTCTAGCAGAGCCTAATGTTGGGTACTCCAAAGAGCTCTCATGGAGGGACCTGCCCATGCCCACAGTGGACAGTGTAAGAGAAGGGGTAAGAATGGAGAGCAGACCTCAGGACAGGCATTTTTGCTGACTAACAGGTCAGGCTGCCTCCCTGGAGACTCCAGGAAAGACACAGGGAGACTGCCTGCTTGGCCTCACCATCTCGGGACATGCCCAGTGCCAGGCATTTCTGTAGGCGGCAGTGCTGGCATCGGTTCCGGCTAGTGCGGTCGATGGGGCAGTTCTGCTGACGGGTGCAGGAGTAGGCCACGTTGCACTGCTGGCTCCGACGGAAGAAACCCTAGGGAAAGCAAATGGAGACCCAGACTGTCAGCCTGGCCAGGCCCACTCAGGCCTGCGGGCCTCCATCCCACAAGATCCCACTCCCTATCAGTTTTCTCTCCTCCATTTGTTCTTTTGCAAGTCCTTCCCCAGTATAAGAAAAGGTCTTCCTGAGCACTGGGCCCACCACCTCAGGTAGCTTCTTAGCTGCCTCAGGAGATCATCCCTGGAATCAGAACAGAGGCCAATGCGTCCCTGCTGTGTCCCATCTCTGCAGAGACTCTGTGTGTGCTCCGATACACCGACATACAGGTGCGTGCCTGCCTGGAACTCACCTTGCACCCCTCACAGGTAATAACCCCGTAGTGGATCCCAGATGACTTGTCCCCACAGATTTTGCAAGGGATCACTTCAATTTGTGCTGCAAGAGAGAAAGAGATGGAGGTCAGCCAGAACCCTCTTCTCCATGCTCCCACCATGGACCTAAGCTGCAAAATACAGGTGCATGGTGCTCCTCCACTTCTCCAACCAGTTCAGCTGACCAGTTCCCCCTTGCAATAAGGAAGGGGAAGCAAAGTACCAAATGCTGTTTAGCAAAGGGTCTGCGGAGGCTGATTTTTGTTTGGGAGGTAGTGGTGGAGGGTGTTAGGGGGGCAGCTGGGAGTATCTGCTTTATGGAAGCAAAGAAAAGCAGCTAAAGGAATGCCACCTGTGTAACCCTTCAAGTTGAAAAGCCCCAGTTGCCTCCCTCCCGTTTTGGGACGTATGAGCCCCCCCCCCCCTGCATTACAACACCTGCTTCCCGCCCAAGGGGCTTCCTTTGTGCACCCTCACCTCCTCTGGGGCCCAACTCCAGTAGGCAGAGGGTGAGGCATGGCAGGAACATGTGGTATACCAGGCAGGAGGCCATTGGAGTCAGCCATCCTCTGCCAGGCAGTGAAGGGCAGGGAGGGGCTGCCCAGAGACCAAAGGGTCATCTGGGAGGGTCTGCCAAGTATGGCTCAGGGGAGAAAAAACCAGAGATGGGGCCCAGGAGAGTGGGGCTGAGTGGATGCCTGAACGCCAAGGGAGAAAATCAATGGTGAGGAGAGAGGGTGGCTCTGTGTGCATGACAAGTGTGTCCTCTGTTTACATGTACTTGAGTGTGTCTGTGCCCCATGGTGTGTCCAGGGACTAGAGACCACCTCATTCCACTTTTCTTTTACAGGTGAAGAAACAGACTGCATGAGGTAAGGTGGTTGGCCCACGCTTCCACAGCTAGTTTGCTCCAGAACTGGGCTTTCCTTTAGATTGTCATTAGACTGTTCTGGTACATAACTTTCAGGGTACCCATATCTGTGGGTATGTTTGTTTTTCATGTATGTGTATATGTACACATGAAAGGGATGAGCGATTTGTGAGCCAGTGTGCACATGTGTGCATTTGAGGATATGCCACTGTTTGCTCACTGGGTACGAGGACCCCAGGTTCTCTCTCTTCCCCTGAGTCCATTGTATCCTGTCCACACTGACTCCATGTGCCTGCTGCCCATCCCTCCATCTCTCTTACCACTGCCCCCGGTATCTGCTGAGTTTCAGGGACCAGAGGTGAGCTGAGGAAAGCTTGGAGTCCTTGATGACAATAGCTGCTTTCAGCACTTCAATGGTCTTGCCATCGCCAACCTGCTGCCTCCCCTCTCAGGTGGGGGTCACCTAGGGCAGAAGCCCCTTCTCATCTTTGACATGTCTCTCATGTGAGGGTCAGAGGAAGTCGCAAGTCCACATTCCTGTGGGCACACCTCTAGCCCCAGGCTTCTTGGACCCTGGTCACTTGTAATCCTGCTGATGTGAGGTGGGAAGACAACCACTGCTTCCCTCTATCCCCCTCCATCATCCTTAAAAAGTCTCCTCAGGTCAGCCTGGAGCTGCTTCCTCTTGGGGGACACTGCTCCCTGGTGTCTGAGATTCTTCCATTAGAACTCGATTTCCCCACTCCCCCACCCAGTACTCCACAGTAAGCTGTGGCCACCCACGGCAGGTGAGCTTTTCAATGTTGTTGTTGTTATTATTGAATGTCTTCAAATTGGTTCCGACTCATAACACCCTTGTACAAGGTTGGTGAGCTTGAACCACTGACTTTGCAATTCAAACCAACCTTGCAGTCCAGCGCATTAACCAACAACGCCATACCAAAGCTTTTCAATAAATGATGTGAAAAACAGATTCTATCCAGTAAATGAAACTCATGGAAGGGGAGGGGGAACAGAGGGACCCTGGGGCGGGAGTCGAGAGGCACTAGACCTGCGAGTCATTGACATTCTCTAGGCCTTAGGTCCTTCACCAGTAACAGGGATAAAGTCCACAGTGGTTCACTGGTATCTGCACTGTTTAAGTGGGCAAGTGCTTGTACTTACTGAGTAGATGGGATCTGAAGAAACAAGTGGGTGGAAGGAACTGATAAAAGCATGGATCACCATAGATTCTGCTCTTGCCTCTCTCAACACCTCCCTCCTCCAACACTGTAGTAATTCTTGCCTCAGTGGCTTTGAGTCCACAGAAGAGAGAAACCAACATGAGCCACCCAAAAAGGTAAGTGGGAGAGAGATTAGGCCAAGCCACAGTGGGAACCTGGGCTCCAGCCCAGCAGGCAACCACAAGCCTCCCTGCCTCTTCCCTTCTCCAAGAGCCACATCCGTGTGCGTGTGTATGCTGACCACATGGGTGACCCCAGACACATCTCCCTGCCCCTCGCCTGACCTGCTGCTTGTCCTGACCCTAGGAACCCCATAGCAGAGTCATCGAGACCCTGACCTTCTCATAGGAAGATGTGGTCAGCCAAGCTCCCTCTTCACAAATGCCAGTGTTTGGGGGATGTTAGAACCTGGGATCTTAGCCTCCAGGCCAGCCGCACCCCTATCCTTCTCAACCATGGTCCAGCACAAAGACATACACTGAGACAGGCACATAGAGTTAGAAGCTCTAAGCCACAGAAACCAAGAGGTTTGGGACTGGGAGAAAGCAGGCAAACACCCAGAGATGGAGACACAGCCGCAGAAACAGAAAAACCCACACTTGTGTCCTGGCCTGATGCCCAACTCTGAACCCTCCCAACACCATCAGGCCCTTCTTATCCTACTCCTCCCCCACTTCCCCTGCCACCTGTACCCCCCTCCCAATGCCACAACCTCAAAGAGAAAGTACCGGTGTGCAAGTATGTATGCGCGCATGCGCGCATGACTTGTGAACGGTGGGGAGGGGGGAGATGGGAAGGGGACTGGCAGGGTGGTGGTGTGGTGGGAAGGAGCTGAAAAACACTTCCAATAACTCACCTTCAAAACTTAGCCCTGTAGCAGATGGTGGGAACCCAGATTGGGTAGGGGGAGCTGAGTAATCACAGGATTACTCAAACTGTTGTCTGGGAGCCGGGCCTGCCAGGAACTTACCATCTAAGGGCCTGCCAGTGCCAGGAACTAGAGCCAAGCAAAGGTCAGGAACCCCAAGGCCAACGCCTGTATAACCGGCTCCCACAGGAGCCCCAAATCTAACAGTAACCACTGTCTCCTTGGTAAGTTCTCTCACCAGCAGCTCTCTCCAGAGGCACTTAGAATACATTCCGTATCACAGGGAAACCGTCTAGTGCCACCAGCTTCCAAAAGGAGACTGTGTTTGCGTGTGCAGAGAACACAAGCTTCTTATAATATCTGGTGAGGCCAGCTCCAGGATCTTTCCATCTCAGACAAGATTGCCTGGCGGTCTTGTTAAGAGGTAGATCCTGATACTGGAGGTCTGAGGTGAGGCTTGAACTTTTGTGTTTTAACAAGCTCCCAGTTGGTGCCAGCACTGCTGGTTCTCAGTGTACACTTTGAGTAGCAGGAATTTGGTTCCTCTTCCTGCTTTTGTGCTAGGCTGTCCCTTCCTGGATAAGGTCTCTCTATTGAGCTAACAGTTCAACCTACCCAGTAGTACCTTGGAAGAAAGGTCTGGTGATCTGTTTCCCTAAAGATGGTAAAACCAAGAAAACCTTGTGGAGCAGCAGTTCTACACATGACACATGTGTTCTACACATGACACACGGGGTCACCATGAGTTGGAATCAACTCAACTATCAATGTTTCTTTTTCTAACTCCTCCCTGGAAATGGGAATGGGTTTGGTGGTCTCTCCTTTGAACATTCTTTTCTCTTCCCTGCCATCCAGCCTGACCTCTAAAGCCTCGTTCTGATACAGAAGTAAGAAAAGAGAACGCATGTCTTCTGAGTTGCTTTACTCAGGGATTTTAGGATCCCTGGGGATCCTATCAGATGGTCCTATGTGGAGAAATACGGTAGAGAAAAAATAGTCCCTCCTCTTCCACCTAGGACCTCCTCTAATCTCATCAAGCTCACAGCTGCAAGATTCATTGATAGTGCTTTTTGAATGCATCCAGAAGCCTGGCCCTGTGCCATCTTAGGGAGCCCTGTCCAGGTGCCCTATGCCACAGAGAGGAAGTGGTAGGAGCAGAGGAGGGGTTGCAACCCAGAGGGATCATCCCCTCAAACCCCAGAGCCACCCTAGCCCTGAAGAGGAATGGAGACTGTCAGAGGAAACCTGAGGCTGCCATCTCTACTTGGAGTGCCTTCTCAGTCCAGAATTGGACCCTTCTTCTTTTCTGCCTTCCAGTGGATACTGATAACAGAGGGACAATAGTACCAGACATAAACATAGACTGACTTCTTACCCTGTGTTGTCCCCGCTGCTTTTCATACACTTCTATTGAACGATGACAACAACTCTATGAAGTAGATGCTACTGGTATTGTCCCCATTTTACAGATGAGAAAACACATGTCTACAGAGAATAAGTGGCTTGACTAAGGTTACACTACCAGAATGCCAGGTCTGACATTTGAATTCAGGCCTATGTAACTCTAGAGCTGGTGCCCTCAACCCCTAAGCTCCATACTCTATAAGAATGAGCTGCCCAACTGCATCAAGGACAATGGGATGAGGAGAAAAGTTATGGTCTGCAGGGGGGAAGGGAAACGTGAGAAGTGAGGGGGTGGGCTAGGAATGACATTTCAGGGAGGAAATCCATGGAGTAAATGTCTGCATGCATGTCTAAAGACCTAGGAAGAAGCTACTTCCTCTGTCCCAGCCTCCTGTCTTTCCCCATTTCTTGAGGACAGGTTTCTTGGTGGAACAACTTGACCATCCCCACAGAACTTCCAGCTTTCTTGGAAGAGTGTCTTTGGGGTGTGGACTGGGTATCTTACGCATCTTGGTAGGTCTCTCTTGGTAGAAATGAATGAATGAACGTAAACTAGCGGGAGGAATGCATCCTTCTTCTTAGCTTAGGCCCCTCCTTTCCCCACTGAGACCACAGCTCCAGCCGGGGGTCCCCTGTGCATACCAGCTCCCTCCTTTCTCAGCTCTCAGTTCCCCTAGCTTCTGCAGGGTTGGAAACCA